AGTCTGGGTTTGAAAATAGGCACTGCCACTCATTTAAACTTATAATCCATGGTCAGCGACCTAACGTCTCTGGTCCTCTGTTTCCCACTCTGTAAAATGGGAAGAGTTAGTGGTATCTGCCCAGGGGAGTTGTTGTAAGGAAAACAAACCCATGGTTCAAATCTGGCCTAGAAGCACTAAGTGAATGGAGTGTCCTGTCTCCTTTTCTTGCCTAACTCACCCAAAGGAGAGGCAGAGCAGGCCTGGGGTGAGCTGGGGTGAGCAGGATCTAGGAGGTAGGTCCTAAGCTCTCAGGTCTAGCCCTTCTGCCCTCTGCCTCCCATCCTACTCAGGTCCTGGGGAGTCAGAGAAGGTGCAGCAGCTGGAGGAGCAAGTGCAGAGCCTGACGAAGGAGCTGCAAGGCCTTCGGGGGGTCCTGCAGGGACTGAGTGGGCGCCTGGCAGAAGATGTGCAGAGAGCTGTGGAGACAGCCTTCAATGGGAGGCAGCAGCCAGCAGATGCAGCTGCCCGCCCTGGAGTGCACGAAACCCTCAACGAGATCCAGCACCAGCTGCAGCTCCTGGACAATCGCGTCTCCACCCACGACCAGGAGCTGGGCCACCTCAACAACCATCACAGTGGTGGTGGTGGCAGTGGCGGCGGAGGTGGCAGCAGGACCCCAGCCCCAGCCCCAGCCCCTCCTGGCCATAGTGAGGAGCTTCTGCGGCAGCTGGAGCGGCGGCTGCAGGAGTCCTGCTCTGTGTGCCTGGCAGGGCTGGATGGCTTCCGCCGGCAGCAGCAGGAGGACAGGGAACGGCTTCGAGCGCTGGAGAAGCTATTGGCCTCCGTGGAGGAGCGGCAGCGGCAGCTCGCTGGGTCGGCTATGGGCCGCAGGCCTCCTCAGGAATGCTGCCCTCCAGAGCTGGGCCGGCGACTGGCAGAGCTGGAGCGCAGGCTGGACGTAGTGGCTGGCTCGGTGACAGTTCTCAGCGGACGGAGAGGCACAGAGCTGGGAGGAGCTGCGGGGCAGGGGGGCCACCCCCCAGGCTACACCAGCTTAGCTTCCCGCCTGTCTCGCCTGGAGGACCGCTTCAACTCCACCCTGGGACCCTCAGAGGAACAGGAGGAGGGCTGGCCCGGGCATCCTGGTGGGCTGAGCCACTGGCTGCCTGCTGCCCGGGGCCGACTGGAGCAGCTGGGGGGGCTGCTGGCCAATGTGAGCGGGGAGCTGGGGGGGCGGCTGGATCTGCTGGAAGAGCAGGTGGCAGGAGCTGTGCAGGCATGTGGGCAGCTCTGCTCTGGGGCACCTGGGGAGCAGGACTCTCAGGTCAGTGAGATCCTCAGTGCCTTAGAGCGCAGGGTGCTAGACAGCGAGGGGCAGCTGCAGCTGGTGGGCTCAGGCCTGCACAAGGTGGGAGCAGCTGGGGAGGCCCAGCAGGCCATGCTGGAGGGACTGCAAGGGGTCGTGGGCCGGCTCCAGGATCGCATGGATGCGCAGGATGAGACAGCTGCAGAGTTCACACTGAGGCTAAATCTCACAGTGGCCCGCCTAGGCCAACTGGAGGGTCTGCTGCAGGCACGGGGGGACGAGGGCTGTGGGGCCTGTGGTGGTGTCCAAGAGGAACTGGGCCGCCTTCGGGATGGTGTGGAGCGCTGCTCCTGCCCCCTGTTACCTCCACGGGGCCCTGGAGCCGGTCCAGGTGTTGGGGGACCAAGCCGTGGGCCCCTGGATGGCTTCAGCGTGTTTGGGGGCAGCTCAGGCTCAGCCCTACAGGCCCTGCAAGGAGAGCTGTCTGAGGTTATTCTCACCTTCAGCTCCCTCAATGACTCACTGCACGAGCTCCAGGCCACTGTGGAGGGCCAGGGTGCTGATCTGGCTGACCTGGGGGCCACCAAGGACCGCATCATTTCTGAGATTAATAGGCTGCAGCAGGAGGCCACAGAGCATGCTACGGAGAGTGAGGAACGCTTCCGAGGCCTGGAGGAGGGACAGACACAGGCTGGCCAGTGCCCCAGCCTAGAGGGGCGACTGGGCCGTCTCGAGGGAGTCTGCGAGCGGTTGGACACTGTAGCCGGGGGACTGCAGGGCCTGCGCGAGGGCCTTTCCAGACACGTGGCTGGGCTCTGGGCTGGGCTACGGGAAACCAACAGCACCAGCCAGACACAGGCAGCCTTGCTGGAGAAGCTGCTGGGGGCACAGGCGGGCTTGGGCAGACGGCTTGGTGCCCTTAACAGCTCCCTGCTGCTCCTGGAGGACCATCTGCAGCAGCTCAGCCTGAGGGACCTCACTGGTAAGGGGACAAGCGGAGGCATGGAGGGACCCCTTTCAAGCCCCTTTTTCCCCCACTCCCCCACAACAGCCTAACCTCAATCTCATCTACTTTCTCCTCGCTCTGCACAGCATGAGCTGCAGCCCTAACCATTACAGCTTGCCTGAAAGAGATGATGCAAGGTCTTAGCTCCCTGCCCTCCCTCTGGCTGCTCATATAGGCCTGTGGGTGGAGGTGGGATGTTGCGCCAGCAGGTGTCCAGCATGGGCAGCAAGGGTCCCCATTTCCCCCTCAAACTGCAAAGCCCCACTTGTTTTATCCATCTCCCTGCCCACAGAGTCATCATCTTCCTTGTCTGTTGGGAACTCCTTTCATGGCTCTCAAAAAATTAATTTTGTCACTGTAGGGCCTGCAGGAGAAGCTGGGCCCCCAGGGCCTCCTGGGGTACAGGGGCCTCCAGGCCCTGCTGGACCTCCAGGATCTCCAGGCAAGGATGGACAAAAGGGGCCCATTGGGCCACCAGGTATGTGGGCTGAGACCCTTGCTGTGGCCAGGGTTGCCACCACCTCCCACCCACCCCAGGCAGCCCCAGTGTAGACATTCCACTCTGTATTTAACAGAGAAGGGGGAAGGGGTGAGGAATTGAGGTTCTACATGGCTGATAATGGGAAGACAGAGGAAAATGACTAGGAGCCGGGACAGTCACTGTGTTTGCCTAATTGGGTATGTTGGCCCCACTGTCATATTGGAGACTAAAGCTGAGCTTAGAAGGGCTGCCTGGGGTGTAAGAGGCTGGGGGCTAGGGCTCAGGGCCCAGTAGTTGAACAGAATGGACGCCACCTATTCCTCCTTTTCTTGACACCCCCATTCCTGCTTTGAAGTCTGCATAGCACTCAGCACAGCAAGAGAGATTCAGCAGATGTTTGCTGAGTGACTTAATGAGAGCTACCCTACTTCTCACTGCTCCCTTTCCGCTTCCCACAGGTCCCCAGGGTGAACAGGGTAAGTTCCTCTCATTTGATTCTCTTGAGGGAGGAGAACTGAACTAGGGGTTGGAGGATGGAAGTCCTCAGGTAGCCCTGGGGGTAGAGATACAGGAGGGGAAGGGGGCTGGCAGCTCTGCCCTGAGCATCCACTCTAACATCCACCCTCCCCCACCCAGGAGTGGAGGGGGCACCAGCACTCTCTGTGCCACGCGTGGCATTTTCAGCTGCCCTGAGTTTGCCCCGGTCTGAGCCAGGCACAGTCCCCTTCGACAGAGTCCTGCTCAATGATGGAGGCTACTACGATCCGGAGACAGGTAAACCTGGCAGGGGGCTGGGCTGAGCACTTGGGGAAACGAATGAGGCTGTGCAGACAGCCTCTTCAGACAATGTGAATCTTCATTCTCTGATTTGAGGAGACCCCTACTCTTTCCTTCATTTATTTACTCTTACCACAACTTGGGCTGGGATGTGGGGTGGGGAGGGTGAAGAATCATTCATTCAACAGGATCTTTGCTGGGCCTGCTCTTGCCCGGGCACTGTTCTAAGTGCTGGGGACGCGGCAGCGAACAAAACACCAAATTCCCCACCACTCACATTCTAGTGGAACGGAGGTGAAGAGACCCAGCAGGTCCCTCTTTGTTCCAGGAGTTCTGGGCGGGCTCCCCGAGGCCTTCTGGGCCCAGGCCTCTGTCTCCCGTCCTGATTGCCATCCTTGTCCCCAGGCGTGTTCACAGCTCCACTAGCCGGACGCTACTTGCTGAGCGCGGTGCTGACTGGGCACCGGCATGAGAAAGTGGAGGCCGTGCTGTCCCGCTCCAACCTGGGCGTGGCCCGCATAGACTCCGGTGGCTATGAGCCCGAGGGCCTGGAGAATAAGCCGGTGGCCGAGAGCCAGCCCAGCCCGGGCGCCCTGGGCGTCTTCAGCCTCATTCTGCCGCTGCAGGCCGGGGACACGGTCTGCATCGACCTGGTCATGGGGCAGCTGGCGCACTCGGAGGAGCCGCTCACCATCTTCAGCGGAGCCCTGCTCTACGGGGACCTGGAGCTTGAACAAGCGTAGACAGGACGCCAGTCCCGCCCGCCCGAATTATCTATACCGGCCAAGGAGCCAGCAGGGGCGGGGCTCCCCAGGGACCCGCCTGGGACGGGGCGCCGTCCGGGACACCCAGCCTGGGCGGGCCGCCGCACCCGGACCCGCCGCAGCGCAGGTGCCCGGAGCGCGCCGGCTCGGGGACTCCCGGGTCCGCGTCCAGACTTTGGTCTGACCGCCGTCCCCTCTGGAACCCCTCCAGGACCCGGGTTGCTGGGGAACCGATCCTCGCACCTTTTGCCCCCTCAACCGGCGCTCTGGGCCGCCTCCCCGGGCTGCAGGGCTCTCCCCAGCAGGCGCCGGCCCCCACACCGCCGTACTAAACTATTCAGGAATAAAGACACTTGATTTTTTCTAAAAAAAAGTTCTGCTCCAGTACGTGGTCAGGGGTAGGCAGCGGGAGTACACAGGGGACGGGGCGGGGAGAGACGGCGACCTACGGAGGAGGACCCGGGTTCCGCGCTGCGCTCGGCGGCTGGGGTCCGCTGCGCTCCGGGCGGCTCTGCCCGCCCCTCCTCCGGGCCACGCTCGTTTCGCCGGCGTCCGCCAGGAGGCGCGCCGGGCTCCCCGTCACGTGACGGCCGCCGCCCACTTAGCGGGCCCCGCTGCTCCGCAGTGGAGGCGGGGCCTGGGCTGGGAACAGTCGGGCCTCTGGGGGCCGGGCAGCCGCGACAGCTCAAACCGCGGCTTGGCGGCTGGGACAGGGCTGTGGCTGCGAGGCTTGGGTCTACCCCGCGGATCCAGGGTCGGGAGTCGGAGCCGCAGGTGCAGGAAAGGGCAGGGCAAGTGGCACGTTTCTAGTGCACGTTCTCTTTGCTTCGGGAGATTGCTTAGCCGCGCTTTGGAGAGGTTTGCCTCAGCTCTGAGCCCATCTGATAAGTGAGCAAACTGAGGCCGAGAAGTGGGAGGCGCTACCATCTGCAGGGTCAGGCAACCCGCTCCGGGGAGACTGGGCACCAAGACTTCGGGGTCGGTTTTCCTAGGCCAGCTTGGGTCTGTGGGCGTCGGGAGCACGGGCCCCGCTCCGTTCCCTGCACCCTCCGCCCCATCGCACCCCTCGCCGCTGCAGGAGGCTCCCTAAAGGAGGAGCTCCGCACGCGTAGGAGGAGCCAGGGCAGCCCCTGGGAGCGGGGACACAATCCTCTGGGATTTAGAGTAGAAGCAGAGCCCGGGAGGAACCCCGTCAGCCGGGCAGGCAGAAAGCTTCGGGAGCAGCCTCATGGAAGACAAGCAGATCCTGTGCGTGGGGCTAGTGGTGCTGGACGTCATCAGTCTGGTGGACAAGTACCCTCAGGAGGACATGGAGATAAGGTAGGGGCGCCCGGGCCCCTCGGACACCCCAGGGGCTCCTGCAGCCCAGCGTTTGTGCCGGCGCCCCCTGCCTGGGAAGGCTGGGGGACTGTCAACAGGAGAGAAGAGAGGAAAGAATTGAGGCCTTTAATAAGACAACCCAGGACTTGGATGGCACCGTGTTGGCCAAGTTCAGGTTCAACCCTGGGACTGTGTCAGGCGTCAGGATACCTATTTTACTGATAAGCAAGTAGAGACTCAGAGATGAAGTGATTGATCCAAGGGCACACAGCTAGTAAGGTGCCGACCAGTTTTCTTCTTTTTTTTTTTTTTTTACCTCCAAGCCTATGCACTTGCCTCCCACCAGCATTTACTTCTAATTTATTTACCACATGTATCTTTCACCTGTTTCTGAAAAAGACTTGAGGTAGCTTGTGGTAAAAGGAATGTACAGCTAAACTGTTCAGGAACATACACAATCATGGAGTTTGAGCTTTGTAGCTCAGGGCTTGCCAGCACTGGAGGCAAATATGGAGATGCCATGGGGTATGGAGAGAGCTGGCCCGTCAGCCATGGCAAACTTTTCCCTGGTGCTAAATTCCCAAAGGAATCTAACTGAAGTCCTTTTTGCAATGAACAATATGCAGCAGTGTAAAACATCCTTCTCAGTTGTCTGATAGAAATTGAAGAGTCATTTGTTGGTTCTTGCATTTACATTGTAATGCCATGAAGGCATTTCTGTGGGGCAGGATACTAGCTTGCTCTTGGCACACTTGAGCGCCTAGGACACTGAGAATTGCTCCTTGTTTATCAGTTGTTTCAGTAAAACTGGATAAGCAGCAGTTCAAGACTAAACTGTGGCAGGACACTGCAGCGCTGACATCCCTGAGGCTGACTGAGAGTAGATACCCCGGCATAGCCCAGGCTTTGGGCCCTCAAAGCACAGTCCAAGTATCATCCATACTCTCCTCCCGGCAGCGCATGGGAACTGTGTAGGGATCAGTCAAATCCTTTTCATAGATGAGAAAGCTGAAGAGTTGGAAAAATCAAATGAGTTTTACAAGATCACATAGTTGATTAGTGGCAGAGCAGCAACTGTAACTCAAGTCTCCTAACTCGGAGTTTAGTGCTCCGGCCCTCTGTCATCTCTTTTGCACCCTGTCCCTTTGCTTCCCATCTCATGGAATTGACCCTTTGCTTTGGTTTGCCAGAGGTTAGAGCCCCTTGCCAGGGGAGCAGGGACAGTGGAAGGGGCACAGGGTGTGCTGCTGTGTAGACCTAACGCACTTGCCAGGACACGGTGGGAAGGTGAGGAGTTGGGCCTACTCTCAGGAAAGCAGTGCAGATTCTGGGGTCACAGGTTCTCCAAGGCCTGTGGAGGGCCTGGGGAAGGGCTGGAGTGCCTCTTTCTACCTGTGCTGATGTCCCACTCCCTTTGAGCTTAATTACAGGAGGCTAGGAGGAGGTCCTGCTAGCTCCCACGCTGCCGAGCACGTTCGGAAGTTGGGTACTAACTGAGGCACCTCTCTAAAGAGCCCCTCCCCACGTTTGCCATGCTCCCAGCCCCATGGCTCTGCTTCTCTGCAGCCCAGCTCCTGGACTCTGGTATGCCTCCCAGAAGAGCACACCTGTGCGGGGACCCTGTCCTTTCCGGGTGTCTCAGGCCCCCCGTCCCAGGGTCTCTGTGCTCGACGGGCAGTCGGGCACTCTGAGGAGCTGCCATCTGGAGCTCAGCCAGCCCTCTGAGGAGCGGCCCATGCTTCCCAGAGTCCATGCCGAGGAGAGCCTTCCAGAAAGCATCCTCATGCTCAGCTGAGCATTTCTGCACAGGAATGTCACTGTGACCTTGAAGGGCTTCGTTCCACAGAGTAAAATGCCATACCCTTTCTTAGAAACCTCATCAAAGCCTGGGCCTAACAACTTTTCACTTAAAAATGCAGAGTCAATAGCAATGGCTTCGGGGTCGGGAAACCTGGGTTCTGATCCCAGCTTTGTCATTAACTGTTGGTGCGATCTTGAGCAAGTCAGAGCCTTCAAGACACCTTTCTTTGCATGAAAATTTCTCTAAAGCGCACAGCTTGAAAAATTTTTGACCCTTTACAAATTAGTATCTTTTTTCCTAATAAGATCATGCTCCCCTTTTCCCAAAGCTGGTGGGAACTTCAGGATTAAGATCTTTGTACAACTAGACCTGAGCCTAAAAACTCTGGTTCAGTTCTTTCTCTGAATTTATGGTTCTTTGGAACTTGTTCCTTTTATTGTAAGCCGCCGCAATTGCTATTATCTTTATTTTGGGGAACTGGCACAATAGATATAACACCACTGTTCTTATCTTGCAGGTAATAACACTGTTCACAGTATTACTGGAGCACAAATGAGAAGTCATTTAAGTGCTTTGACTCTGTGCATAAGTTATCATTTTTTTGTTGATGACAGTGAAGCCCTTCAGGTTTATCTTGTTAATTTCCTCTTGATAGATTTTCAGTAAAGATGGAGAAAAAACAGTCTGCACCCAATAATCTTTTTAACTTTTGACATAAAAATTAGCTCCTCTCGCCCCCACTGCTGCTTAACTGATCAGTGTCTGGGTTTGCTGTCCTGTCTCACTCATTTTATTAATATTTAACGACTCTGCAGTTACCATGAAGTAGGCGCTCCTGACAGAAGCAGGTGTAAACGTGTACCTTTGGGAGGAGGGACTTCATCTCCGAGGTCCTTGGAGATGCAGCTCTCAAGGAGGCGGCAGAAGGTGCAGCCCTCCAGGAGCCGCTCTGATGGGGGAAGCTGGGTCGGTGACATTGAGGAGATGACCCATAGTTAGTGTGGCCTTCAGATTGTGATGGACCCAAGTGAGTGGCTTCCTGATGCCCTAAGAACAAGTGGAAGTGTCAAAAGTAATTTCTGTGAGCTCGAATTTAACCTGGGCTGGGGAGACAGACCTGGCCCTGGCGTAGCCCCTTCCCTGGGCTGAGCCTCGGCTATCCCAAGTAGAAAATGGGACAGCAGCCTAGACGCTTTCTGAGGGGACCTCCCGGCCCTTACATTCTGTGGGCCCCTACACAGGGGACAGTGGTTGGCCCTGCTTATCCTGGGACCAGTACCCTGCCAAGGCTGCAGGGACCCTCCTGTGCTTTGCAGATGCAAATCCCAGAGATGGCAGCGTGGAGGCAACGCATCCAACTCCTGCACCGTTCTCTCCCTGCTCGGAGCCCCCTGCGCCTTCATGGGCTCACTGGCCCCCGGCCATGTTGCTGAGTGAGTCCAAGAAGGAGCGCCCAAGGGGAGGTTTGCCTGCAGGGTGGGGGGAGAAGAAGGATGTCTCAACCAGGGGGAGGGGGTTGTGGGTGGGGGTATAAGAAATGGTCTGTGGCCACCAGAAATGGGTGGGAGGGGTGCAGTGGAGCGCCAGGCTCCCAGGCCCTCCCTGGGGCAGCTTATCTGCTGTTCAGGTGCTAATGCTGCTCTGGAGGTTTCATTTCCACAGCTTGCTTCCTGGCCACTCTCTGGAGCTGCTTAAGCTTCCCCACCTCCCTCCTCGCTTCCTACAGGCTCTCTGCAGTGGATTTGCCTTTGCCCTTCTTAAGTCCCTTATCCTGGCTGTGCCTAAGGCAGAAGGCAGTTAGGGACACTCTGTACCATCCTCCAGCATTCATGGTCCCCAGGTCCAGGCCCACAGGTTTATTTCTGAGTTGAGGGGCAGGGCTCATGTCCCTGTTATTCAGTGAAGCAGCAAGAGTACCCTGCCCAGGGACACCATGAAGCCACATGCTCACACTGGGCCCAGAACCCATGCCTCCAGCTCACTAGCTGCCAAGGCTATAGCCCGCAAGTGGCCCACGTGTCTTCTCCATGTTGGCTGCTGTGGGGACCCAAGAGTCCTTTGACCTCTGGTGCTGCCAACTCGGCAAGCGCTTATCAGGAGGTGAGGCCCACACTTTGCCCGCTGTGGGCACTGGGGCATGCAGCCAGGTTGCTGGCTTGTGAAGCGCAGCCCTTTGAACCCTGGTTTGAGGGGAGCTGTTGCCAGAGCCCAACCACCTAAGCCACAGGCAAACTCCCTGCCTTGATGAACTGGCACGAAGCAAATAGAATCTGCCCTGTGAGATGAGACAGAGAGACTCGGAGCCAAGGGCTGTGCTCACCCGCTGCAACAGCTCCTTTCCTCCAAGCTGGAGGCAAGACTGTGGCTCTTGCTCAGGGCGGTAGACTCTCCTTTATGAAGCAATGATGCTGAGGGGTGGGCCATTCAGAATTCTCCCTGTGTGTTCAACAAATTTAATGAGCACTTACCATGTGCCAGGTACCATGGGAACACAAAGTTATTTGGCAAACCAAACCATATTTCTGATGCTTTGGGAAAGCTACTATTTAAAGGATCCTTGAGTTGTAAGTCAAGGAATGGGGCCCTGACTTGGTACCTTTATTCAAATCTGTATTGTCCAGTTTTGGTGTTGCTGAAAGTGGGGTCTGGCCATAGTGAAAAAGGCCAGGGTGGTGGCTGGACTGCTGGGCATAACTGCCAGCTCTTGGGCACAGAACTGCATTTGCAGAGAGGGCTGGGAGGGGTGGGGCTGGCCTCCTGCTGGGGCAGGCTTCCTGAGGAGATGCCCCTGGGCTCACTCGCTTGGAGCACATTCTGGGAAAGAGTCTGGGAGGAGCCCATACTGAGTGGCATCAGGCCACTGCTGGGAGGGTTCACCTGGCTGCGAGAGGACAGGGTGGTGAGCAGGCCCACCAAGGCAGTACCACGTCCTGGCTGGGCATCCTGGAGGCAGGTGGAGAGTGAGTGGAATCACAGCGTTAGGACTGGAAGGGACTCCAGAGAGGGGAGCACCATGGCATGAGCACGCAGAGGGCAGCTGGGGGGCAAAGTGTTGCCTTGGTGATTAATGATGAATTCTGCCTGGGCATTGCGTGAAGCAGGCCAGGTGCCCCCACCTGCCTGGTTCAAACAGCATATAGGTTTCTAGGCCCTAAATCCACCCTTGTTAGCTTATGAGCGGAGCAAATCCTTTCCAGCTTGAGTTGGCCTGAAAGACAGAGTCAGGGTTGGAGCATGCTTCAGTCGGGACCTAAAAGGATGTCCCTTAGTGTCTCTCTCTCTGCACTCCTGCCCCCGGGCACAGTCTGTGGCAAGACTGCAATTCCCAGTTCTCTCCTGGCCCCTTCTGTTTGCACCCTGCCTTTCAAGGTCCTTAGTGGACCTGCCAACTACCCTCCAGTCCCCCAAATCCTTGTCGAATGGCACCTCTCGCGGGTTACTCCGCCCTGGCAGTTTTGTCCTGGATGACCTCCGTCGCTATTCTGTGGACCTACGCTACACAGTCTTTCAGACCACAGGCTCCGTCCCCATCGCCACGGTCATCATCAACGAGGCCAGTGGTAGCCGCACCATCCTATACTCCAACAGGTTTGTACACCTGTCTGCGCCTTGCCAGCTGCTATCGCCGTCACCAAACTCCCAAACAGTACCTTTCTCTCAGAGGCCGTGTGTTCCAGCACTCCCTCCGCACTCCCGTAGGAGGTCTAGGCCACTTGTAGTCTCTAATCTGTGTCTCCTTGCCCTTTCCGCGGCTCGGGCTCCACCCCAAGCTTCCTGGTGGCTGACTTCAGGCGGCGGGGCGTGGATGTGTCTCAGGTGGCCTGGCAGAGCACGGGGGATACCCCCAGCTCTTGCTGCATCATCAACAACTCCAATGGCAACCGTACCATTGTGCTCCACGACACGTAAGGCCCCCTGGCCTCGCCCTGACACAACCCACCAATCAGTTCCCTCACTCGCCACTGTGGGCATCTCAACTGCCGCCCTCTGTACCAGAAATTGTCCCCAAGCTGTTCAGTGATTTCTGAATTGCTTTCAATTAGGGGACAAGTGAGGTGGGAAGGGATAGGCTTTGCTTTGCCTGGTGACTTGGCCTTGGCCAACACCAAGGATGGGCAGGCAGGCCTGTGTAAAATGTAATTTATGATGCGATTCCTCCATAATTAGTCAATCATCAGCTTGGGTGTGGGTATGGAGAAATTGTCCCCGGGACAGAGGGCTGGGAGATGTGATTGAACCCTTCTTAAGCGCTGAAGGGCTGGGGGCGGGGCACTGGGATTTCCAGGGTCAGCCCCAGAGTTGCCAGCCTGCAGCATGACACCAAGGAGCTCGGGTTTGGGTGTTCAAAAGAGATGAGTCCCCAAAGGTCTCAATGTGATGAAGCCAGAGCAAACATGCCACAGCCATTTGCAGCCATTGCTGAAGGAGAAGGAAGGGGAGCACTGGGTCAGCAGATCAGGGCCATCTCATGTGGTGCTAACTAGAGGGATGGGCCATCTCTTCAGGGTCCCAAGCTACTTGGGAGAGGCCCTGTGGGCCTAAATCCCTCTCATGCCTTGCAGACTGCCTCCTGAAGGATCTCAGAGGTTTAGTTTACTGTGAACCCAGTATGTGCCAGGTGCTATGTTAGGGCTCAGAGAGCCCAAAACCTGTTTCCCTGGGCTTCAGGCTGTCCCTCCTGCCCAGCATAACCACTGGACCCTGGGGAGCAGGGCAGTCATCCCAGGACAAGCTTTACAGTCCTGGGCTCTGTGTATGTGCCAAGCAGTGAGTGGGTGGGGATAGTGCTAGACACAACCTTCACATTGGGCAATCCTAGTCATCTGCCCATTAAGTAACAATCTGTAGCAACTTTGATCAAGGACAGGACATGGGTATTCACAGGGAGGGAGGGAGAGGAGCTTTCAGGAGATACATTTATTGTCCGCTGGCCCCAGTGCAGGCATATTCACACACATTACCTCCAGCTGCAGCGAGCCGATGAGGCTGGGGCTTCAGCCCCATTTACCAATGGGGAAGCAGCCTCAGAAAGGACAAGGTCACACAACTAGTTAAGTGGACGAAGGATTCAGCTACAGAAGATAGAGGGAGGGAGGACATTGGCTGTGCGTAGCTTACCCACCAAGGAGGCAGACCCCTTCTCGGGTCTCCACGCCCAAGCCAGCCAAACATAAACTCTTCCTCAAGGGCCAACTACTTGTTGACCTTAGGGCTGTGACAGGGAGCTGCCAAACTCAGGACAGGAGTGCCATGGGTGCCACAGGAAAGCTCCCAACACTGGGGCACCAAAAGAGAGTGGGACCAGACCAAGCATCATCGGCAGCATGGACATCGCCTATGCCGGGCACTGCATGCTGGGAGCCATGTGCTGCCGGCAAGGGGGATTCTGGGAAGTGTAGTCTCAGGCTCTTGGTGCATTCTGGGAGATGTGATCTCCAAGATGCACAGTGCTGGCCCCTTGACCTGTGCTGCAGTTGAGTTTACCCTTAGGTAATATCACACCCTCAAACTCAGGCAGGGGCACGCCAGCAAACTGGGACAGGGCCCATCCTAGAGCTGAGCCTGAGAACCCTGTGCTGTGGATCCAGCTTCCTGCCATGCTGCCGGCGACGCCAGGCACAGGTCCCCAGCAGCCAGTTACAGATCCTGGCCTTAACTGACCCCATCATGCCCCTTCTTCTCTGTCCTTTACATCCTGTGACCTAGGAACCTGCCAGATGTGTCAGCTAAGGATTTTGAGAAGGTTGATCTGACCCGGTTCAAGTGGATCCACATTGAGGCAAGCCCCGCCCTACCTGTGTTTGGAGGGGCTTAACCTGCCAGCCCCCTCCACATTTTCTGCCTTCTTGGTTTCTTTGAACCATCAGGTACCTTAGAGATAAGTGAATCCTATCCCCTCGTTAGGTTTCCAGGTGAGGAAACTAGGATTGGGTGACTTACTCAAGGTCACACAGCAGGATGTAGGCACAGCTGGCTCCAAGCAAAGTCCAGTGCTTCCTGTGTTATGGGCTGCCCCACCTCCTCCAACTCTGCCTCTGACAGGAGGCTGGAGGCTGGCTGCTTAGGGCCTGATGCATTACCTCTGGGGGAGCAGGAAGGAGAGGACCTGACCCAGCTCCCAAATAAAGGGAACTAGGACCTTCACTCCAAGAGAGGTTCTGGGGTCTGGGTAGGAGGAAACGCTGAGAAGTCCTGCGTTTTAATCCTAGTCCTGTCATTTAACTTATTGTAGGTCCTTTGGAAAGTCTCTTTTATTCTTTAGTCTTCTCATCTGTGAAATAAGGGAGCTGATTGATAAGGTCCCCAAGGTCCATGACAGCTCTAAAATTTTATAACTTGGGATGGGCTTCCAGCCCAGCCGCCCCCAGCCCCTCTCCCCCCTCACCCAGAATTCCAGCAGGGAGGGAAAAATGAGCCGGATCAGCTAGGCGGTGCCCAGCAGTCCTGAGCTGCCCTGTCCTGCCCCAGGGCCGGAACGCCTCAGAGCAGGTGAAGATGCTGCAGCGGATAGATGAGCACAATGCCAGGCTGCCTCCGGAGCAGAGGATCCGGGTATCCGTGGAGGTGGAAAAGCCCCGCGAGGAGCTGTTCCAGCTGTTTGGCTACGGAGATGTGGTGAGTGCCCCATGCAGCCTCTCCTCGCCACATCTCGCTAATGTGTTTGATTTTTTGTTTTGTTTTGCTTTTTGAGACAGGGTCTCACTCTGTTGCTAGAGTGCACTCAGGCTAGAGTGCAGTAGTGTCATGATAGTTCACTGCAACCACAAACTCCTGGGCTCAAGCGATCCTCCTGCCTCAACCTCCTGAGTAGCTGGGACTATAGGCATGTGCCACTGTGCCCAGCTAATTTTTCTATTTTTTGGAGAGATGGGTTCTCACTATGTTGCTGAGGCTGGTCTCAAACTCCTGGCCTCAGGTCATCCTCCTGCCTTGGCCTCCCACAGTGCTAGGATTACAGGTGTGAGCCACTGTGCCTGGCCTAATTGCTTCTTAAAGGGAGCCAGGGAGTCCCTGTGTCCTGCCTACCATGCTCAGAATGGCAGTTTCTGGCTTGGTGGTGTTGGAAGGTGGGGGCAAAGCAAAGACGCAGACCCCCAGCTCTGGGCTCCAGTGCAGGCTTCAGCAGTGTCCAAGGAGTAGAATGTCTCCACCCCAGGTGGGTGCATAGGTATGGGGTACCCGGAGGGCTTGGACAGGGCCAAGACAGCCGCCGGGCAAGCCTGCATGGAGGCATCTCCTCTTTGGGCCTCCTCAGTCTTTTCCCCTGCAAAATGAGGGCATGGAACTGTTCTCCGAGGTTTCTTCCAACTCTAAGGTGGGTGGCAGGTTGTGGGAGCCACTAGGGGTGAGGGGAGGGTGGGAAGGAGACTTGCACAAGGTAAATTTGGGCAAGGCTGGGATGTAAGTGGAATCTGGGAGACAATCCCAGCATCATAGCTGGAGCTGGTGGGAGACCATTGGCCCGTTGGTCCTCAACCTTGGCTGCTCATTAAAAAATATGGATGCCTGAGCCCCACCCTCTCAGTTTTTATGATTGGTAGAAGTAGAGCCAGGGCTTTGGTATTTTTTACTAAAACTATCTCTGGAGATTCTAATGTGTAGCTAGTGTTCAGGGAGTTCTAGAATCCATCCCCCTCCCCCCACTTTTTTTATAGATGAAGAAATGAGACCTAGACAGCATAGTCATGTGGGGAAAAAACACAACAAAACGTGCTCCTGAGAGCCCACGCAGCACAACCTGGCGGGGATGGAGTCTACCCCAAGATGGCGCTCAAGGCTTTCTCTGGGGCTTTAATTCGTTGATCCTAGAACGAATGGATCAGGACTTCTGTGTCACAATTTGTAAGGCTGTATTCTCACATATCTTAAGCACATATAAGAACATCTTCCTGTGGGACGGCAAGATGCTATGTTGGGGATTTATGTGGCCATCTTTTATGTTGGGGGGTCATAACATGAGGGCAATGCCGGGCTGCCCTTGGTGAATGACTAGAGTTAGAGATGACTGCCACCCTCTCTCCCACTGCCCACAGGTGTTTGTCAGCAAAGACGTGGCCAAGCACTTGGGGTTCCAGTCAGCAAAGGAAGCCCTGAGGAGCTTGTACAGTCGCGTGAGGAAAGGGTGAGCCCGGACGCCAAGAAGGGGCCCTAGGGGGCGGGAGGTGAGCTGGATTCCTGGGGTCTGCCTTGGCAGGGCATGGTCTGGGGGAGCAGGTGGGGTGACACCCAGCTGAGGGGAGCTGTCTTGCAGGGCTGTGCTCATCTGTGCCTGGGCTGAGGAGGGCGCCGACGCCCTGGGCCCTGATGGCAAATTGCTCCACTCGGATGCTTTCCCGCCACCCCGCGTGGTAGATACTCTGGGGGCTGGAGACACCTTCAATGCTTCTGTCATCTTCAGCCTCTCCCAGGGTGAGTACCCCAGCAGGAGGGGACAGGGCTGAGACTGCCCCTGCCCCAAATACCTGAGTGACACAGCCACTTGTCCCTCCTGCAGGGAAGAGCATGCAGGAGGCACTGACGTTCGGCTGCCAGGTGGCCGGCAAGAAGTGTGGCCTACAGGGCTTCGATGGCATCGTGTGAGGGGCATGCAGCAGGAGGCACCAGGTCGTCACCCCCTCGGAGGCTGGCACCACTGCTGCCGTTGCCTTCTCCCCTCCGTCCAGCCTGGCATCTGGGCTGCCCTGCTCCTTGGGCAGATGCAGGTTGTGGGGAGGACTCACCTGTGTCCTGTGTCCCCCACACATCTCTCCCTGTGGAGCCTCAGAGCAAATAAACCTTCCCCTGAGCCAGCTCTTCTGGCATTCTGTTTGTCCTTCTTGAGGTCTGAACTGCTCTGGTTGGGGATTCCTGAGGCTTTGACACTATAGTCCTCCTTCTTTTTTCCATTCCCCAAATTAACCTTCCCACCCAGGCCCAGAGGAGCGGCTGTCTGGGCCAGAGCAGCAGGAAGTGCCCCAGGCTTGCCACCAGCTCTGTCCTCAGAGTGCAGGAGGCTCAGCTCTTCCTGGTGAAGGGCAGCCACAGGCCGGAGGTAGGCCTCGAGCCTTCCTAGCTGGGCAGGACACTCAGCTCCCCGCACCCCAGCGAACCTTCCACACAACCGGCAGCACGAGGAAGCCCCTCTGGGCCCCTGTGCTGTGTGGACTCCACTCCCGTGGCCTCAGGAGCTGGGAGCCCACGTGGCTAAGCTCAACTGCAGTCCAAAAATATTTCCCCCGTGGACTGCCCCAGAGCCTGAAAGCCCCACCCTTGGAACCTGCCTTGTAGTTAAGGTGGTGCCTCAGCCACAATTGCGACCCAGATACTGAGTGTTGCTGTCCCTCGGGAGATCAGGTCTCAAAGGCATATTGGAATTGAGGGCCAACTCCAATATGGGAGTTGGGGAAGGGCGGGAAAGGCCTTATAATGCGATGAAGGCACGGGCTTTAGAGTCAGATGGACCTGGATTCCAATCTGCCGTTTAATTAGCTGCATTTCATCTTAGGATACAGTACTGAGCTCAGGCTTTCTCAATGTCCTCATCTGTCAAATGGAGCCAATTCTGCCTGATCACAGAAAATCATATAATATATAAAATGCCCAGCATGGTGCCTGGTGTGTACTAAACTCGCAAAAAATGATAGTTATTATTAATATTGCTGGGGGTGGGGGACAGATACAGGGTGATGGGGACCATCTGCCCTGAGCTCCAGGAGGGCACAGGGTGTCTGAACACCAGGTGAAGGGGGAACAGGAGCGTATTGGGGCCCCAGGGGTAGACCGAGCTTTCTTCACAGGGCTATCTGCAGCTCACTGTGGCTAGTGCTGTAGACTCCGCTATCTTAGCACCCTGGGCTAGACACGCTGGGAAAGCTGAACCCCTGTCCCTCCAAGGGCCTGTTCAGTCCCCAGCCCCCTGTGCCCCTAGGGGGTCTGGGCAGGCTGGACCAGTAGATAGATGGCCCGGGGGGGATAAATTAATTCAGTTATTTATTGCTTGTCTGGGCCCTAAAGCTGCCACTTAACTTAGGGTCTCCCTGAGCTGCACAGAAAGACCTGACACCTACTGGGGCTAGAAAGGGGACACAGAGGTGGTCCCAACACGCATGCCTCCTATAGTGGCTTGTGTCCTGGCACTGAGACTGCGAGGGGTGCAAGCCTGTATCCTCAAGGTTTATATCTCATCATTCTCCAGCTGAATATGGTGAACCACAAACTCATTTGAGGTGTTCTTCAACTCCAGTGTTTCCCCTGGAAGCTCTCTGGCTTCCTCCCCATTGTCCCTGACCTCTGCCTGGCCCCCGGCCTCCTCTCCGGGACCTGGGGCATCTCCTTCAGCCTCTGCCTGGCCCCCAGCCTCCTGGACAGGCTCCAAGGACTCCCTTCTGGCCTCTACGTGGCCCCCAGCTGCTTCTCTGGCATCCAGGGCTTCCTGTGTTTCTTGTCTTAATGGGCTTTTCACTAACAGGGACTGCCTCCCAACAGCTTGTGGCTCCCAGGGAGACGGAGCAAGGGGCTCTCTGGACTCTGCATGCCTGGGGGCCTCTCCTGGGAAGCTGACGAGCTCAGCAGGGGTCATGAGTCCGTCCCCATTCAGGTCCTGGGTCTCCAGCACCTTGTCCACTACCAGGACCACCTGTGGAAGCACAGAGTCACTGTGGGGTCTCCAGTAGCCAGAGATGTCCCAGGAGCCCTGTCCCTCCCCAGCACACCCCTGCATCCCTGCCATGCAGGTTCTGAGCCCTCCTTTTACAGGGGATTCACCAAAAGAGTCATGATGAAAAAGACCGAAGCCCCAAGGAGGACGGGGTCCCCACCCAGCAGAGCTCACCGGGTTGGTGGTAGGAAAGTCAGCAGCTCCAGGGGCCAGGGCGGCTGTCAACATGGACAGCAACTCCAAGCCATCCAGCTGTCCACTCTGGTCATAGTCATGAAGGGCAAAGAGGTAGAGGAGAACTGGGGAAGAGAAGCTGGGTTAGAAGAGGCGTCCAGGGGCAGGTGGAGAAGGCGGGAGTCGATGGGCGGCCAGAGGTCAGTGTCCACTCCGGCTGCCCAGGCCTCCCATGCGCCAGCCCCATCAGCCCGGCCCCTCACCTTGCTCCCGGCTCAGGTGCTCTGGCTCCTCTTCCATCTTCTCTAGTCCTTTTAGGTAGCCCTGCAGAAGTCTGTCAGAAAAGTGGAAAATCAGTCCCAAAGAGGCGAGTGTACAGCCTGGGGCCTGATCTACGTAGGCAAGGGCCCAGCGCAACCTACTCACCGGAGCTGCTCCTGGCCCGGCTGGAAGGGGTTGGGCAGGAGCTGATGCTGCACTTCAGAGTCCAGCCTGGAGGAGGGAGGGGAGGAGCAGCTCTGCAAAGAGCCTCCCTAAGGGCCCAGCCTGCCAGCCTTCCACCCCAATCTCCCGACACAGTTCTCTCCCCAGACCCAAAGGGAGTTGCTCCCCCAGAAGTCCCAAAAACCTTTTGGGGAAGAGGCCCTTCTGGCCTCCTTGGAAGCAAAACCTTACTGCTCAGGCTCTGTTTTTGCAGCTGCCTAGCTTAGACTTTAAGTGAAGACCCAAATAAAACGTCTAGTTTGATAGAGGCCAGATGAGGCCACACCTAGTAGACACAAGTTGGAGTCCCAAGAAAGCAGCCCAGGGAGTGGCAGGACAACACGGGTTGCAGCTCCCTCTTCTTCAATGCTGGGAGCTGAGGGCAGGTCCCTGGATGAGCCCACTGGCACTGCCCAGTTTTATACAGACCCTGTTTGCTCCATGACAAGACTGACTCTTACTTGTTCAAGCAAAGGGCATATATGTTGGTTTTGGAGTTTCAGTCTGTTCAGGATTTCCTGGTCAGCCTTTCTGGCCCAAACTGTGCTCCCAGGTCTGGATGGGGCTACCTGTTTGCCCAAATTAGTCCAAACCTGTGATGCCAGCGAGCTGGCAGGGGTTGCTGCAGCAACTTTTGTCACTGCAACCGATCCTTGCGGCTGTTCCAGTATCTGTCTCCCCTCCTACCCAGCACACCCACGACACAGTATTAGTACATAAAATGTTCAGAAAGGTGTTCAAATAAAATAGAAACAATGTGCTAATCATTTCTATTTCTTTGGCGTTCCCACTATAAGGTCTTGATAAGAGGACTGCAGCCCCTTTCCTGGCCCATAGCTTCCTCTCTCTGCTTCACACCACACTGGAGCTGAGCTCCTTGCTCCCAAGTGGGTCCAGGAGCATGCACTGAATGCCCACTTTGTAGCATTCTGACAGGCACAAGGCAGCAGGTTGAAGTGGGGGATGCAGATATCAGGGAGCCCACACCCCAGTCTTCTGCCTGCCAGAGGGGCCCACCACACCCTCAGATTCTCTAGAGACTCTCTCTGCTCCCACCTACTGCCCTGTCTGCATAATCCTGTTACCTCGTGGCTCCATCCTTGGGAGCAGCTTGACCCAGGGGCGGCAGCAGCAGCAGCAGCAGCATTAACACTCTCATCATCAGAGGTAACATCCTTCCAGAAGCTGGAACTAGGACAGAATTAGGAGGTCAGGGGGGAAGGGGTATCTGCTGAGTATTGAGGATGGGTTGGGTCAGACAGAAACACCTTCTCTCCTTGAATATCGCTGTGGCCCAGGTGACAGGACTCCTGCTCAGGGAGGACTCACACATGGACATCAGCGATCCCCCACGGAACTTTGTTCAGAATGAATCTTACTCCAGCTCTAGTGTATAAAGCACATAAAAGCAGACCTGCTCCGGTGGAAGCAATGCTGGGGGCAGGTCCCCCCACCTCCCATTTCCCTTGTCCCTGCCTTTGTCCCTGCCAGTCCCCAAGGTGCTCAGAGAAGTACAGCTTTGGAATGTCTGATCTTATTCAGCCCACTCATTTAACAGACGGAAAGGAGCTCAGTGAGTTTAAGAGAAAGGCTAGATTAGAAATGCAAGGAGTCACAAAAAGACCAAGACTGAAATAGAGACGCAAAGAGGGAAACAGATGGTTAGTCTGTATTTACTAACCACCCACTAAAGAATAAATCAAGAGGCTCAGACTCCCTGAAATAAGTCTGAATTCAGGTACAGATTGAAAACACAAGAAAAGCAACTTCTGAGCCCCACCAAGGCTTCGCAAAGCCTTTCAGGCTCCACAACCTACCCACAAACTGCCTTGCTCCTCCCTCCACCTCAGTGGTGGTGGAGATTGAGAAACACCCTGGGAGATACAGGGTCCCTCCTAAAGCTTGGGGCAATCAGGTACTCCACCTGAGGGACCAGAGTCTGCCATAGACACAAAAGAACATCTTGGCAGCTGGCTCTATCACACAAAAATCCACCAATCATAGAACAATGATATAGCTCATCATAGCATCTTCCTCAAACAAACAGGGGTGTGGCTGATTCACACTCAGAAGTACCACCCAACCAGCACCAAGAGTCAGCTGGGGGACCTAACTCACTATACACTGTTGGGAAGAGGTGATGACAGCGGGTCAGAGGTAACCCAAGAGGTACACCGAACCTGACATAACACCCCATAGGCAACTCAGGACCAGCACTCCTCTCCTTGGCACACTCAGGGATCGATCTTAGGGGACCCGGAGACAGGCCTGTAAGCCAGGCCCAACACCTCTGGAGGTCTCAACCAAGAGGCCTGATGAGAAGGAACCAGTGAAAGAACTCTGGAAACATTAAAAATCAGAGCAAAAGGACACCCCCAAAAGAAAACAGTATCTCCTTACCATTGGATACCAACCAAGATGAAAAGATTAAAATGACAGATGAAGAATTCTTAATATGGATTGTAAGGAAGCTCAATGAAATACAAGAGGAAATAGAAACCCAACACAAAGAAACCACAAAAACAATGTAGGAAATGAATGAAACACTAAGGAAATCAAATTAACTTTAAAAAATCAAACAGAACTTCTAGAAATGAAAATTCATTCAAGGAAATACAAAACAGTGGAAAGCCTTCAGAATAGGCTAGATCAGGCATTGGAAAGAATCTCAGAGCTTGAAGACAAGAACTTTGAGTTAAACAAGGCAGTCAAAGAAAAAGATCTGAGAAAGAAGAGGAATGAACAAAACCTACAAGAAATGTGGGATTATGTAAAGACACCTAACATAAGAATCACAGGCATCCCTGAGGTCGAAGAAGAAAATACACAAGGGTTAGAAAACCTATCTGAGGGAATAATTGAGGATAATTTCCCTGGCCTTGCTAGAAATCTAGACATCCAGGTACAAGAAGGTCAAAGGACCCCTGGGAGATTCAGTGTGAAGAGGCAATCACCACGACACATAGTCATCAGACTGTTCAAAGCAAACACGACAGAGGCACTCTTGTAAGCTGTAAGGTGAAAGCAGCAGGTAACTTACAAAGGAAAACCCATCAGACTAACTGCAGATTTTCAAGTGAGACCTTATAAGCCAGAAGGGATTGGGGCCTCATTCTCAGTCTTTTCAAACAGAATAATGGCCATCCTAGACTTTTGTATCGTGCAAAACTAAGTTTCTTATATGACGGAGAAATAAAGACTTTCTCAGACAAGCAAACACTGAGGGAATTTGTTAAAACCAGACCTGCCCTGCAGGAAGTACTCAGAACTGCATTATACACAGATCAGCACAATAGACAACCACCAGTGTAAAATCACCCAAAAGCTAAAGGTCAGAGCCCGGATGCCACAATGGCTAAAGAGGCAAAATAAAGCAATAAAGTTCTATTAAACAGGATGAACAGAAATCTACCCCACTTATCAATTCTTTCAATAAATGTGAATGAATTGAACTCCCCATTCAAGAGACACGGGATGGCTGAATGGATAAAAAATACAAGCCAAATACCTACTCTCTCCAGGAAACACATCTAACTCACAAGGACTCATTCAGACTCAAGGTGAAGAGTTGGAAAATAAAATTGCATGCAAATGGAAACCAAAAGAAAGCTGGTATAGCCATTCTTATATCAGATAACATAGACTTCAAATCAGCAAAAGTAAAGAAAGACAAAGATGGTCATTATATAACGGTGAAGGGAACAATTCAACAAGAAGACATAACAATCCCAAATGTTTATGCACCCAACACAGGTGCACCCAGATTCATAAGGCAAACCTTACTTGATCTAAACAAAATGATAAACGGCAGCATTGTAATAGCCAGGGACTTCAACACTCCACTGACAGAAGGGGACAGATTCTCCAAGCAGAAAATAAGCAAAGAAACAATGGACTTAAACTGAATCTACAACAAATCCTAACAGATATTTACAGAACATTCTACCCAAAAACCACTGAATATATGTTCTTCTCATCAGCTCATGGAACATTCTCTAAGATTGATCATATCCTAGGCCACAGAACATGTCTCAA